TTTAAAATCTACAAATATTTGATTCATATAAATTTATGCTAATAGGTACACTGTTATATTATAGATGCATGTCATATTGTCTTGTGTCTAATTTAYCTCTCCTGTACTTATTTCATACCCATCTGTGGTAACTCTGTCTCTACAGTTTGACTTCCTCGATAATGCACGCGGGCCTTCGTTATTACTTGGGGGGGGTGGTGGATGTGGTGCAATGACTACTTTGACCCCTCTCCCTTACTACACCACTGAAAATATTTTAATGTCATGTATATTATTATTATTATGTTATATTTTGTGTACACGCCCACGGTATCGGCGTCACCTCGCTAATCCAATAACAAATTCGGCAGCCGCGATATTGAATGTACCTATAATTGATAAAAACGTCCAACCGCGGGCGCAACACGTTCACACGCGTCCCCATGAATTATGATGATGATAATAATAATAATATTATTACGGTGTTAAAAATKTTTCGATAGTTGTGTACCATTATTTGAATGCCCGTGGTGTGGTGTGCGTTATTGATCTACACTGAGCGGTGTACGAGTGTCGGAAGCTTCGTMTCTCTCATCCGCCACCTCCATACATTACTATATCACTGTGTTGACGATAATATAATAATATTGCATTTATATGTATATAGGTAAACGTACTCGTACCGTGATGAGCACGACCATAAATTGTAAAAAAATATCATTATCGTATGTGATGTGTGTAGAGTTGCCAATTATTAGTATGCATGCATCATTATCATCATAATATATAATATTGTTGTAGCTATACGCTCATCAATTTTTTGGGTTTCTGCGCCAGCGATGAGAAACCGCTTTCACTATTTTAATACATAGCGCGCGGTGGCTATATCTATGCGTACCGATAAAAATCTGACAAACGTCTTTTTCCGCAAAAAAAAAACACAACATCCGTCTAAACGCGTAATAGTTATTTATAAAACCTRGAATTTCACACGTCCGTTCCGAATGCGTTTATAATGTTACCTTTCGTTTATATATCATCGTTTTCGTCGAGACCCTGCTGAACTCGCTCTTCCTCTTCTTTTTATCACCTAAAAAAAAAATCATTAAAAATGTATAGGCAACCCCGGCGCACGTAACCCAACGCCTTATCGACTTTTTAAAACGCAATAAACTGTGGACGATATACAATATAGAGGAAAGCGKGTAGGTATACTGTATATTATTGCTTACGTCTATAATGAATGATACCGGTGTCATTAAGCGAGATAGGTGAGTTGATTCCCGAGATCTATTTTATGTATTAGTTGATTCCCGGGTCATTATTAGGTATGTATGAGTTGATTCCCTATTGTTGTATAATTTCATWAGGTACCTACAATACCAATTTATAAAATAATGCGATAGACATTTTTATCAAATTACTACATTTTTTCACTAAATTACTAAATTGTTTGGGAAAACGCGAGTTGGGTCCCGAGATATTTGATCCCTTAAAAAAACACGAGTTGGTTCCGTGGTAATATTGTCAGTGCCGGTCGCACACGCCTTCCACCGGCACTGAATATATTGTATATTATTGTATAGTATATTGCATAGTAACTTAACTTGTTAGTTATTTTTGTTTTTAACTTATAAACTTATTCAGTTAAATTGTGTAAYGTCTTAATTATAATTATTGTATAGATGTGGCCTATAATTTTCTAGTAAATAGTAATAATGTAGTATGTACTAT